GTTGCCTCAACACACTTATTGTCATCATCTTTTTGTTCTTTAAACTCCAAATCTTACCTTCTCCTCAACACACTTTGTGCCCTTGTTGTTTCTTTAAAACTCTCAAACTCTTTCTTCGCCTCACAACTTATTTTGCATCATCTTGTTGTGTTTTTTAAAACTCCAAACTCTTCATGATACCCCTTTTTTACTACAAGATCCCAAAAAATTTGTTGAAAAGTCTAAATCACACACGACATGCTGAAAATCTAAAGTTTTTTTTTTTCCCCTACAAAGGGGTTTTTTTGGGGCTCCTAAAATCTTGAAATAGGGGATGTCTCGAATTTTCCCGCATTTACGACGGGCTATAAAACTAATACAATCAAAAATTTCTCGCTGATCAAAACAAGGTCTATTTTTCCTTTTTAATTTCCTCAGAAAGTTGTTAAAAACACTTTATTTTTCCCGGGGGTTAAAACCTTCAAAATCAACCCAAAAAAATACCCAGGTTTAACCCTTTTTTAGGGAATGGTCACACTTAGCATGTTGACTAGGTATTCTTTTAAAAATTTTTATTGGAGGTTTATAGCTTGTCAAAATCTTTCCATCGTACCTTTTTCAAATTTTTAAAAATTAAAAGCAAAATTATCTGACACGGGTTCCTTTAAAAATAAAGAATTTTTGTGTTATAAAGGGGGTTGGCACAAATGGTGTTTTACTCGCTGCATAAAGGGAAAATATTTTATCTGACAGGGGGGGGGCGGGGGGTTTAATTTTGAAGGTCCCGGACCTTTCCAGTAGGGGTACCTGGGGAAATTGAGGAAATCAGGGGGGAGAACTGGGATAATTGTTCTCAACTTTTAAAACAGCAGCTGTACACTTTATAACATTCTTTTCAACATTCTAAAATACTATTTTTTCCCCGAAAAAATTTATTAAGTAAATATTTTATTAGAAAAATTAACGTAAGGAAAAAAAAAAAAAAAAAAAAAAAAAAAAAAAAAAAAAAAAAAAAAAAAAAAAAAGACCCTTTCCGATAAGCTGATTCACTTGTGATTCCAATACCTTTTAATAAAAATTTTTTACCAAAGTAGCTGCCCCTTTTGTGTGTCTTGACAAACCAAAATTCCTTAACGGACACGCTGTCTTGGTAGAGTTTGCAGGGGGGATCACCTCAGGCCCTACCCCCATTTCTTTTCTCACTTGGTTTTATCCTGACTTCCAACCGAAAAAAATGAAACCCAAAAATGAGAACTGCGAGAAGAATGGATTTCTTCATCTGGTCCCCAGCAGGTTGGGACACGATCATATAAAAACTGCTGCGCAGCAAAGGGTCGTATTTGTTGATCAGACATTGCCTGACAAAGAGGTTTCTTTAAATAATTTTCCAACTTTAAACGAATTAACAAATAATTAGAAACATTTGATTAATTTTTAATGAGAAAAAATGAGATTTTTTTTAGATTCAAAGATAAAACAACAACTTTTTAAACCTTTTAAAAATTTAAAAAACTAAATTGGTAAACATTTATACGAAAAGAAAATATTTCCTCTTAAACCGCAGATCAAGTCGGAGCACTCAATGAAGCAAAAGGACTTACTTAAAATTTTTGAAAATCAAACGAGGGGAAAAAACAATACCCCACCATAAAATACAAATTTAATAAGTTATAACAACAAGTTGATACGATCTTCATTATAAGTTTTTTAAACCGTGAAAGGCAGTTGAGTAAAATACATTCCCCCCTGAATTTTTTTTTAAAATACATGATATCCCCAAACCGGGGGGATACCGGACGAAGTTTATCAGTTTCAACTTATCAAAGGGGTTTATTTTGTTTTACTAAAAATAAGCATCAAAAAGTTTTCACTTTAAACTTAATACTGGAGTCAGAGATGAGCCTGAATTTCTTTTTACGAGACACAATATTTTTCTGAACTTCAACTTCATCGATCTGCACAATTTCGATCTTATCGTCCAAATAATCCTCCAGCTTTTTCGCAAGAATTTTCCGTGTGTCAGGATTTACTTTGAGGTCATATCTATCAGATCTTGTCACAACCTTTTTGACAAACGGAGCGGCACTCATCTGCTTTATAGCCTCTTGTTTGACCACGTCCATCATAAGATTTGTTTCCTGGCAACAACTCTTGATGTTGTCATTATTATCGTCATCTGATTCAGAGTCAGTAAAGTTGGTTATAACCTCCTCCATATTGCTGAGTAATATAAACTAAATGGTTGGTTAAGTAGCTGTTTGAAAGTATGCATACCATACTGACAAACAGCTAAACAGAGAAAAATATCTTGGAGGGGCATACATTTTGACCTAAAAGAGGAGCATTTAGAGGGCCCTAAATGAAGCTCAAATAATAGTGCCAACGGTCGAATTTGAATTAGCTGATTTGACCAGTTTTACTTGCTTCAGAGGGAGAAATACTGATGCCCCTCCAAAAGAGGGGCATGTTTGTCACTCTGATGCATACCATTTCATGCTTTGTTACTGGCCGGCTGTTATTTCATAGCAAAATGCAAATAAAGGAATTAGCTCAACATTTTGGTATAATAATTTCAACACTATTATATAACAAATAATTTGAGCATGAATACGAAGTTGTTACTTTGAAACGTCGTTTATCCTAACAGTGCAGTATCATTTGTCGCAAGAAATCAGAATAATCAGAAATTATTTGGAACTCCCAAAAACTGTCTATTTTGGTATAAGTCAAATATCTTTTTGAATTAATATACTTAATCACTTATTGGTTATAAATCGCTTTTTTCTGCATTCAATTTACTACCAGTTAAAGGTCAGGGTCAAGAGTGGGGTTAGATTTAATTTATAAAACTTTCTTAGATTTAATATTAAATTGCAATAAAATTGTAGATAAAGCTGCCAAGTTGTAAATTTTTAACAGTGCTGAAATTTTAAATGAAGATTAGGTATTACCCGGAAAATCGGTTAAGATAAGGAGCAAATTATTATATAAAATTGTTCATGAACTAATTAGTGCTGTACGATGTGTAATCAAAAGTAAGGACAAATTCAAGCGTACTCCATTTTACTCCATTTTACCAATTTATAAAATTTCACATGAAACGAACTTAACTCACGATTCTTAATTGCGTGTGCAATAGCATCACACATATGCGCTGGACCTTCACAGACCCAACATTTTGGGCAGGATCAATATTTTGAGGTTAATAGTGTCTGGGGTATCTGATAGCAAAATTTGAGATCATGTCATGAGTTATGTCATATTTTGTTGTTATGGACCCCTATCTGTGTCGGATGATAATTGATATGAGATTACATCATCATGGGACATGAGCCAATCAAGTTGAATAGTTAACGAATACATGACATCTAACTTAGCACTGCAAATAGATTATCTTTATCTGCGATTTCTCCGCGATTTAAAAAATTTTCGCCGCGAATATGCCGCGGCTTTCGAGATTTTTGCCGCGATTTTGCCTACTTTGGCTTGTCGCGACGCGTTTATTTGTCCTTGTAGCAAATAAACGAATAAGCTTAACATTTTATTTTGGTATAAGTCAAATATAATATATTTGAATTAATATACTTAATCACTTATTGGTTATAAATAGCTTTTGTAAGTCACTTCAATTACATACATGAATCATTTAAAGATATCTACACACTGAATTAGCAAACCAAAAATCAAAAAAACTAATAAAAAAGTGCAATTCTAACGAGAAAACCCATTTAATAACCAAAGGGTACAATAAAATCATTAAAACTACTGGATGACGGCTACAGAGGTCACAAACGATCTACACATGGGACATTTATCAAATATATTAGAACTACACGTGTCACAGAGACATGCATGCCGACATGGCAACAGTATCATGGACACCTGTTTCTCCTGACAAACCACACACTGGCTAGTCTCGTCTCCATGGTAACCACACTGGCTAGTCTCGTCTCCATGGTAACCACACTGGCTAGTCTCGTCTCCATGGTAATACCGGTACAATGGTAACCACTCTCCATTTCTCAAACTTATCAGCTCGTTTAGTTTCCTGCTTGTTTCCGTGCAGCGTTCGTCTTTAATGTGGAACACTGTCAGAAGATTCACGATCTTAGAGGTAGAGTTAGAGTTGGAGTTAGAGTTAGGGTAGAGTTAGAGTTAGAGTTAGAGTTAGAGTTAGAGTTAGAGTTAGAGTTAGAGTTAGAGTTAGAGTTGCTAGGTGTGGGATGACAACTCACGGTGCAGAGAACAACCAGCGGTACGGTTTTACGTGGAGGAGAGCCCATTTTTAGCTCCATATTTGGGGACACTTTTAACTGGTGTTTACCTGGACTGAACGACAAAGGTTCATCAGCTGATATAGAATTAGATGATAACTGAGATACAATTTGATAACTAGAGGACACGTGACGCTGTGACGTCACACCGTGACGCTGTGACGTCACACCGTGACGCTGTGACGTCACACCGTTAGTTCCTAGAGTCAGATGTGCCAGTAAATTAGTCCCCACTCCCCAGAAATATTGAACAGAACACCTTTCAAAACACTCAAACTCCAGCGCAATTCCCTCAACCAGGCTGTCGTAGCCACAACTGACTGATACTTTAAAAGGTATGGATACAGGTGAAAAGGAAGCACTGGGTCGCTCATCTAGATTAAGTCTGGTATTGGACGGGGAGTCGTCAGCAATGTGAAACCTCTGTGAGAGACGAAACAAGAGGAAACAAATAGAGAAGAAGAAGAAGTATATTATGGGGAGGTAGACGGTGTAATCCTCGTCAGAGGAGATCAAGCTCCTTAACATTTGGGGTGGAATCATGGCGTGTACCTAGAAAGAAAGGGTGGGTTAACGGGTAAACAATGTTCAAAAGAAAGTTTTCGTTTCTTTCAAACTTTTAGTACTCTTCATAAACACCAGAATGAGAAGTAGTTGGAATCTTACTTTTTAAGCGATTGCTTTCTCTATAATTACTTGTTACTACCTAATGTTCTATTTAGATGAAAAAGAGTAAAACAACGTTATGAGATAAAATGTATTATACATTGTATATTGCAAGGCAACATTTTAATCTTAAATTGGCATAGCAACCATGATTAATTAGTTTGAAAACAGCAATAAAATTGTTACGTTACTTGATTTAAATTATATTCATAAATTACAGTTTTGTTAAATGTCAAACACTCGTGAGTGCATTAATGATGAGAAGTGTCCACAGCACGACTAAGTGCCAGGATGATGACAGGATGAAGTTATTCACAGAATCAAGATTTTCACACCGTCTTAAAATAAGTTCGCAAATTTTGAATTAAAAGTGATCCCTCGCCTTGCTTTCTGGCAGTCTAACAGAGTGGATGTCAGTGACTCTCACCTTTTTGCCTCAGTTTTTCCAAGGTCTGTACAGCTGATCAGGCGGTAACGTTTTATGGTAGTTCGCATCAGGTTCCAATATCATCGTCACTGGCAACCTAAAATAGGTTTTATAATTATACATTATGAATATAAACAAATAGCTTAGCCAAAACCCGACCCCATCTCAGATTTAGCAACTTAGGTTGTCCATCACTATAAACTTGAAATATAGTTATTTAACATTAACCATTAGCCTATTAATTTAGTCCTTGGTTGATTTAGATGTGAGCGGAATTGGTATGAGGGGTAGTGTCCACTGTCCAGTGAAGAGCTAAAATGGCCTACATTTAGCTCATCCAGGAACGATCACAATTAGTCTTACGACTCCATCCAATCTCAACTCTCTGGCAGTGAGCCAGGCAACGTTTTTATTGTAGTATAGGACACTATGGCGGAAGTCACGAGGGCGAAGGACCCAAGGGCAGAAGTTTCCTAAAAGGTTAGACATGAGGGTGAATTTGAATTCGCCCTCGTACCGTGTCCTTCGCCCTCGTGTTGGATGGCCACTATTTCAAGAAAATTTATGGGGCATTTAAGGATGCCCCATATTTCAGGATTCATCAGAAGTTCAGGAACCTAGCGATCATAAAATTCAGATAACATTGCTGGTTACTCTTCTATGCCGTGTTCAGTATTTTCAATACCAGAATCTTTCAATGAACCAGAAATCTGTTAATTTATATTACATTATATATTCTGATATTAAACGGGTAGCTTATTTTGATAAAATAACATCGTGATCCGGCGTGATTAATTATTTTAATTGAAGTACAACGGCTGCACCCCTGACTTTTTAACTTAATAAGAGACGTATATATTAGGACATTTGTAATTTGATAAAAAGTTTTGGTGTGTGAATTAAAGGTCTTTAAAACAAAACATATTACATGTCAGGATTCATAAGAAGTTCAGAAGCCTAGCAATTATAAAATTCAGATAACATTACTGATTACTCTTTTATGCCGTGGGAGTAAATTAGCAGGGCACAGTTTGCCCCTTGTAGTCCAAATTTACATTATAATTACCTCATTGCTAGAATTGATTCCTTAAAACAAATTTTCCAAGAATTGTTACAGTTTCTTCCTCCTTGCATGTTGTACCCTCTTTGAGAGTGAGACCTATTACTGTACGAATATTTTTCAAAATTTGCAGGATTTTTCCTTTGACCCTTAATTAAATTGGCACAACAAAATCTTTCTGGATTTATCATTTCACATTGCTAGATTTCAATTCTGGAAGCAAATTTCCTGAAATTCTTTTCGAGAGAATGCAATACGCATCCCTTTTTCGAACTACACTTATTTCGTAAGAGCTGCTTGCAGGCCCTAATATGCATTTAAAATCGTATTATTTTAATCGTTCTTGAAACTGTGTTTGAATATGATCTCTATTGCCAAATTGCTCAGCTAGGCCTTTTACACGTTTTGCTGTTTTTGAAATTTAGGCTGTGGCCAAAGCGCGAGCTAAATTAGAAAAACTCTAAGATTTTGGCATGAAGAAAATCATTCCTACACCCCTGCCACAATCTGTTATCAGTTATGATTTTAATTAAGTGCACCATCGTTCTGTTGGGAAAGAGGTATCTCAATTCTCAATTTACGGGGTGATGGAATTCGGCAAATTTATTTTTATTCTTATTGTACGTTCTGACTGCTGTAATAGTTTTAAATTTAAAAGTTAAAACTAGTACAGTTTTTTCGTAATTCGCAGGCTAATATTACCGCTCACTTCACATGATAAACAAAAAAAATGTTCCTAAATAACTACTCTAACTTGAATAATGATTTGACATAGCTCCAGTGACTTACGTTGCGTCAATACTAGTCGCGAAAGGGACTTCACATCGTACTGCCAAGACGTAGTTACATTTGATGTTTCTAGAGTTGGTTGTGGGAAGCACGTCGGACTCTGATAAGTCTAAATCTCGCTTAAAAACTGCTTTCTCGCCCGAAGGAACATCCTCAAACTCCAACATATACTCCTGAAAAAAAAGAGCTTACTTCCTTGTGGTAATTTCTTTAGAATCTTACTCGGTATTTGAAATTGGTCACAGCTATTATTACAAGGAAATCAACCAAACGTCATGTTTTAATACGTTCCATTTTGTTGAGTGGATTGTATGTCTTAATAAATACTGTGTTTCGTTTCATTCTTAGCTTAAATAAGTTAGAGATAATGTGTTAAATAAGTTAGACATAACATAATGTGCTTTGTAAAATATGAACCGAGTAGTATAATTAGGGATTGTTGGCAACATCATTATCGCATTACACTATTACAGTGAATCATTTGCTATTGCCTATTTTCTATCCTTCTCACTTTGTTTCACCCATATCTTTAACTGGTAACAACTGTTTCACTTTTCAGACTGTCAAGCCATGATATTCTATTTATAATTAAATCATAATTAATTCAGTTGCATAATATGGATAATAGACATGATTAGATATCTGGCGTTTTATTATGAAGCAGATTTAAACGGTTATTGGTTAATAGACAACGGTATGAACTGCACATTTTCTCGAATGGTGCCGCATTTTTTGATTAAATCTAAAGAATATTGAACAAAACCTCGTTACCAATTTATGTGTGGCTAATAATGTTGTTTTTAATGTTGCTTTTAATGGCGCTTTTAATGTTGCTGTTAATGTTGCTTTTAATAGTGCTTTTAATATTGCTTTTAATGTTGCTTTTAATGTTGCTTTTAATGTTGCTTTTAATGTTGCTTTTAATTTTGTTTTTAATGTTGCTTTTAATGTTGCTTTTAATGATGCTTTTAATGTTGCTTTTAATGCCTAAATGTGATGATAATCCTACCAGGATGAAAGGATTTCTACTGTTAATAGCAGTGCTCCTACAAGGGGAGGCATTGCAAGTTGGACAAAAAGTAAAGTTAAGAGGAGGTGGTCTTGCGCTCTATGTTAACAAACGCGTTTGTGATTACGATAAAATACAGGAACTCGAACTCAATCTGAGTCCAGAAGAAGTTACTTGCGGAGAATTTCAATTGCTTAAAATCAACAATTTTAAAAACGGAAATAAGACAAAAATCATCGTAAATTTCTACCGCTCGCCATCCACAAGCCCTAAAAAATTCCTTGAAAAGTTTGAAAACGTGCTCAGGGGTCTTGATAGACACTCCAGAAAGCAGATAGTCTTCCTGGGTGATGCAAATATTGATCTTGTAAAATACGATACCGACGCTTACAGCCAGGATCTTATAAGCTTACTAGAAAAATATGGGTTTGCCCAGACTGTCTCCAAGCCTACCAGGGTAACTGACCACAGTGCAACGCTTATTGATCACGTGTATACTAATCACGTGACCAACGTTATTAGTTGTAATGTCGTGACGTTGGATATGTCAGATCATCTCGCGGTTAGCACGACCATTAGTTTAGGAGCCACACCTAGTTTGAACGAGCGATTCCGTAGTCAACGTGTAAAGAACAACAACACTAGCTTGAAATTAGAGGCCCGTGTATTTAACGAAGCTAATCATGCTAAATTCAAAGAGCTTATTGTAAGTGAGACCTGGGATGATGCTACCTCCTCAACGTGCGCTGATGAACAATACAATTCCATCTATCAAACGTACATGAAACACTACAATACTGCATACCCCCTGAAGCGCGACAGTTCGAGAAGAAAATTCGAAAGAGCTGACCCAAAGCCTTGGATCTTACCCTGGCTTGAGGCGGCATGCAACCGCAAGAAGTTACTTTTTTTTGACAAAACTATAAATCCATCACAAAAAGACTGCGACGCGTATGATAAAATGAAAAAGTTTTGTCACAAACATGTGAATCTAGCCAAAGAAAAGTACTATAAAAAAATGTTTGACAAATACCAAAACTGCTCTAAAAGTCGATGGAAAATTATCAATGGCCTCCTGAACCGTAACAGAAAAAAGTTCGGACACACCCGTCTGAAGGACGACGATGGCACGATTATAAGCTCCGATCTGGCAGTCGCTGAGAAATTTAACGGCTACTTCTCCGGTATTGCAGCCAGTATCAAGAGGCAAATCGCTGCCCGTCGAACCTTTGACCCAGGTGGTTTCAAGCATTTTCTTAAGGCTTCGTGTAGTAACTCGATGTTTCTTAAGCCTACATCACACGGTGAAGTCCAAAAGATAATATCAGGGCTTAAGAACAAGTCCACACTCGATTGTAAAATTGAGCCACTGAAAATTGCAAACAGCTGCGAAAACTTTACCAGGGCACTAGCTAATGTCATTAACTGTTCGTTCTCCAGTGGTACCTTCCCAAATGCTCTAAAAACTGCGAAAGTCGTTCCTATCCACAAAGGTGGTTCAAAATTGGAAGTAGCTAATTATAGGCCGATCTCTCTTTTGGGATCATTCTCGAAAATTTATGAGAAACTTATGCATGCTCGTGTTTTAGAATTTTTAGATAAGAACGATTCTCTTTTCGAAAATCAATACGGATTTCGGCCAGGAAGATCGTGCGAACATGCACTGCTCAATGCCCAAAATTCTATACTACACTCTCTGAATAAGAAACAAATTTCCCTACTGCTCCTGCTCGATTACAGTAAAGCCTTTGACGTGCTTGATCATGAGACCTTGCTTAAGAAGCTTGACCATTATGGGATCAGGGGAGTCGCGCACGAATGGTTTAGATCTTACCTTTGTAATCGATCTCAATACGTAACTTTAAACGGAACTTGCTCTTCTAGCATGCCCATAGTTTACGGCGTTCCTCAGGGTAGCATTCTAGGACCTCTCTTATTTGTAATTTATATAAACGACCTACCTGGAATTAGTGATTTTGCAAAGTTTATCCTTTATGCCGACGACGCAAACATATTAATTAGTGGAACCACCCTAGAAGAAATACAATTAAAAGCTAATCAGCTAATTTCACGTCTTGTAGATTGGGTAGGTGCTAATGGGCTATCTTTAAATGTAAAAAAGACGTGTTACATGATTTTCACTAGAAAAAGATTCGACTTCAGCGGCTTTAATTTGTCCATTGACAACACTGTAATCGAACGTAAGACTGAAGCAAGATTTTTAGGAGTGATCCTAGACGAAAAGCTCACTTGGAAAAAACACATTACGGCAGTTAGAATAAAGATGGGTCGCTACCTCGGAGTTATGTATAAGCTAAAGCACCTTCTACCTATCAAAGCCCGCCTAAACATTTTCCAAAGCCTTATCCAATCCCATCTAAATTTCTGTTCTTTAGTGTGGGGATTTGCCTCAAAATGTCACATTGATTCTCTGTTCACCAAGCAAAAGCAGGGAATTAGAGCTGTTATGTCAGGATATGTAAATTATAGATATAAAGACGGCAATCCCCCGGAGCACACAAAAAGTGCGTTTAGATTGCATAATATCCTAACAGTCCATAGCGTCATTGTAAAAAACGCTCTTATTCTACTACACAAAGTAAGGAACATGCCAAGCCTTCTCCCTAAATCCATCAAAGAACTTTTCCCTCACGATATTCCCACCTATAATTCCACATACGAACATAACCTTTCTTGGTTCACAACTTACAACAGCCCAACATTTAGAAATACTCTTTTCTTCAAAGGACCCATGCTCTCTATTACAAAACTAAGTAAGGATATAACTATTCCAAGTTCTACCTTTTCAATTGAAATCTTTAAAAATTCAGCTAAGCGCGAACTCCTCAAGCTGCAAAGCTCAGGAGACGATGAAAATTGGCCAAATTTCTTACTTTATAGTATACCTGGGCTAAGAAAGTCTCAAAGAGAAGGGCGCTTGCAAATAGACTACAGCACCGAGTTATAAGTAAGCGACAACGCGTAAAGAAAGATCACTCGCGACAAATGACTATGATCTTTTATCAACAACATATCATTTTAATTTCACTGCCATTTATATTGCCGAATTTACATCTGCCGCGCAAAACTTTTTATCTATTATTACTAGTAATAGTAATTAGCATGTTTACAAATTGCGACTTCAACCAGTTTTGCAGACCGTTAGTTATATAGTACTTTTAGTAGGGCATTTATTTTAATATATTTTATTTAACATTATTATATTTTATTGTGACTTCTATAATTTCATTTATGTAATAACCATTGATTAATAAATTGCGGCACACGCCAACCTCCACCGTGGGGTTTCAAAACAAACAAAAGATCGGTTAACTACCCCGACCACTTTATTAGTCGTCTATCCAACGGAAGAGTTGCGATCTCAAGTTCTGCAGCGGACAAAGAATGGATTGTGAGAAATGGTCTAGCAGGAAAAGGTTACAGTTTCGAGTCTCAATCTGGGGGACTTCTCCGACACAGAAATTACCAAGTCTGGGTTGACCCATACTCTAACACGGATCTCTACCAAAAAGATTCGTCTTTCGCCATAGAAGGAGGGCTTGCCGGAAAAGGAATCACTTTCAACTCCGTCAACTATCCAGGTTACTTCCTTCGACATGCCGGATACAGTCTTTGGATCAATACCAACGATGGCTCAAACCTTTTTAGCTTAGACAGCTCATTTGAAGTTGAAGGAATTTATTAACGATCGGAGCAAATGGACTACCCGAGACTCATAATTAGTCATAAATATTACTGATTTGTCTTTAAAATATAATTAATACTTGAAAATTTGATTAAAAATCAGGGTGAATTAACGAAATTTACAATTATTCAAATTAAATCTTTGGGAAAAAATGTATTTCTATTCAAAATGTAAAAATTTTGTTTTATACAAGCTTCTATTCCATTCACGGGATAGCCAGTTAAAGTTACCAATACCTTTCAGAAAATGTATGCTATAATTTTCAATTTTGTATAATTTTTTCATGATTAAAAAAAAAGCCAATTAAGCCAAATAAAAATTCATGTTTCATACTGCAGTAGGATAGTCATCAAAGTGAACTTTAACTAGATTAGATAATATCTTAGTATAGAGTGTATTCCGTGTAAAATTATCTTTATCCCGGTTGTTGCGACAAGTAAAAATGCTCTTATTAGGGAAAGAAGTTTACTCGACGTTTCAATGTAACTACATCGTATTCATGATCTCAAATTATTTGTTATATATATAGTAGTGTTGAAAGTATTAAAATTCATTAGAGTATAATAGTGACACGTGATTCCCAATTCTACTAACTAACTAGTTACCATGGTTACTTGTATGTTTCCTACCTTGGTGCGTATATTCCTTTGAGATCTGTTTGCTAAAACCTTCAGCTTACGGAACAGCACAGCAATAATGTTCTTACATACCAAAGCGGTCATGTTGGTGATCTGAAAGAAACGGTCACTTAAATTACTTTGACTCACTTTGAGGTATAATACCGGATATGGTCACGATGCAAAGAGTGTAAAAACTGAAATGTACTTTTGCCGATTGAACTACATAATATAACGTACCAGTCCAAATTAATAACCGATCGATGTTCCACAAGAACAGATAACATGTTGTTGTTGAGAAAAGACAATTTTATTATTTATCACCAATTCAATACACAATCAATAAATATTTATCCGAATAAACTTGATTTAAAATTAAATGATACAAGTATGCTAGCAGCTAACGTGCTTGTATTTAATCAATATACATATATAATATATTACCCATCCATAGACACAGTGTTTCGTCCTATTAGGACTCATCAGTATGGCTCAAATCATCAAGGTTGGTTTTGCCGATGGCGGGTATTGATCCAGCAACCTTGCGATTACTGGCCCAACGCCGCGCCACTGGGCCACCAAGGCCTTAATAATGAGGGAATTACATAGGTACCAGAGTGCTCTACAAACTCATTACAAGTTAGGAGCTTTGCATTTAAGCTGAGCGGGTATTATATACATTGGGAAACTAAACTGTGTTTGTTTAACTGACCTCTAACGTTAATCCTAAAACGTCGTCGTGTCTGTAGCAATCCTTATCTATTCGCACACTAACAGTAATATAGCCTCTGGGAAAACACCCGAATGTTTTTATCTGTTCGGTAATGTCTTGCTTGCGTTGTGTTTCCGTTTGTTCTGGAGTGGAATGAATGAGAAACGGCTGTACTGCTTCCTGTCCTATTGATACATCGTCCTTTTCCAGCACTGCTTTTATTGAGTATTGTACCTTTGGAAGACAACCAATGAGAGATTGATTCATGTTTATTTAATTAAAACAAGTGATGACTATCAGCTACATTACACAATCACATAACCTAACACAGTAACATCACTATAGTTTCTCATGCTCTAAGCATGAGCCTATCACACGATCCTTAAGTCATCTGAGAAGCTAGAACTCTCATTTTTTCAGGACAAACGTAATTTAAATGGCCAAACACTATTCAATAAAATTTTATAATAAGCATCATAGAAAATTAGACTAACCGAGGCTTCGTGCATCTTTATATCTTCCCATTGGAGAGTTCTTTTACAAGATTCCAAACTAAAAGAGGACGGTAGAAACTCCGGCACCACATAACTAAACTTGAAGAAATACCTCCCCACGGGTATGGGTTTGTTAAAAGCACGAACCAGGATACGCTCCTCGAACAGTTTAACTTCTTCTGAATAGTTAGCCCTGCCGGAAAGTCACACTTAAATCAAGGTGAATTCTTGTTAGCTAGCGGGATCAAGCTCTATATAATTTACAACTGGGTGAAACAACTAATATTTAACTAAAATAAGTAAACTTACGTTTTGCGGCCCTCTTCCCAGCCCACTTTATTGTAACCCTCAACTACGGCCACAAGTTTAGAAACTCTTATCGACTCCTTGGCTACCAAGTATATTTTACCAGTGAGTTGTTCGCCAGGCAGATAATGATCTTTCTCTGTTGCCAGTTGTAACTGTCGATTGAAAATAAAGAAAAAGCAGGAATTTATTAGCATGTGAAAAATCTATTAACGCTGCAATTTAATTAAAACAATTAATCAAGCAGTAGATTCGAGTATAAAATGATAATTAAAACAATGAATAACATAACAGTACCTCGATGGCATATTCTTGCTTTTTGATGACCCTCGCCAAAGTCGGCCAAGATGCCTGCCGGGTAGTCATGACAACCCACTATCACTAACGAACACTGTAAAAACCCATACCGGTGAGTGTTTAATAATACTAATACAATAATCATTAACTTGATTAGCCACCCCTAACCTATTTTTAGACACAGCTAACTGGATGTGATGTCATGAAATATCAACGATCATTTTAAAGATTGAAAACTGGACGGTGCCAGGCGGTTCTAATGACCAATTAAAACATATAAAATAATAGTGAATAATAATCCCTCTGTTCAGGGCACTGCACGCAATATGGTTCATGTTTAGCATGAACTCACTCCAACACTTCAATAGCTTAAAATGAAATCAAACCAACATATTGTGAAAACTATGATGTTTTGTGTGCTCATATGGAGCAAAAACAAGAAAAAGCTAGTGCAAGGTGATACTGATTATATATGCATAATATTCAAGATAATTGACTTACTTTATCCTTCAGTCCACTGACAGTGAAGTAAATGCAATTATTTGCCTCACTCCCCAGCTCCACAACCCGCACTGAATGTGTTTTTTAGCTGTCCAGTAATCTTTCATACGGAATGATTCATCCTTACTCCATCAAGCCATTGTTCATATTTTAGAATCATCCCTGAATTATGCTTATTGACTTGTCAGATTTAAACAGGATATACTGCAAGAAAAATAACAATGTACTGATTGGCTTACATATGGGCTGACCTATGGACCAAAGGTAGCATTATTAGTAATTATCTATTTTGCAAAGACATGTGTAATATCAAAATACCTTAGGGAATAGGGATCGCTCACATATTTGGTGAGCCAGATTTTGGCCATTCTAAACCCGATCCCCCTTCTCTTGCGGGTGTTTATATAATGAACAATTATTCCACTATTTTAAAGAGCTCTAAATTTAGTTCTACGTTGCAAAGATATGGTTATTGGTCGTGCTTCAGTTTGGGTTCAATTGGGCTGAGCTCTGTGTTATCTTAGTCCTACATGATATATAATAATTATTGTTGATTGTATGCAGTACTTACTTTCCTAATCAACAAATTATTCATGTTTAGATACCAAGATTAAAATCAATTCTATTCTCTTCATTGAAAACCAGTCCCCATTGTGTTCTTTATTCATTTTCTTATTTTATTTCATCCAGAGCATATTATATATCTGTCTGCTTAAATTTTTTAAATCATCTGAAGGGACTGCTTTCAAAACATTCAGATGCTTGAATTTCCAAAAATATTAACGCATACCATTCTCATATTACGTGGATACCATAATTTAGAAGTTTTTGATTTGAAACTTTTATAAATTATAGTATAAACTAATGTAACCCAGGCCTACGGCCGGAATTTCACTATCACAGCTGAAATACAAATGTATATTCCTGCTCATTCGAAAACACTGTTGCAGTTAAAACGGTACAAAAGCAGTGGCGAAAGGTTGCCTGTTGGGCGCCTCGAATGGGACAGAGTATGGGACAGAGTATGGGACAGTATGATTTTTCAATTATTTTCGAAATTATGACTACCAGTACCTCAATTTGGTTTCATATCATCATTAATTAACTGACTAATTGGTTTGTGGGCAAAAATTTCATCCAATCTGTCAATTGTGGGTTCACAAATTTTCAAATCTGAAAATAGGACAGAGTTTTGAAAATACAACTTTTCGTTTTGTTAAGATTTCTGCTGTGAGCTTCCTCCGACCCAAATCAAAATTCCAGCACCCCATACGTGTCATTTGCTATCTATAGTTGACTGACTAATTGGTTGCGGGTCAGAATTTCGGTCAAAACTGTACAATTTCGGCCCTGGAAATTTCAGCTTCAAAAACCGAAAATGGGACAGAGTATGGGACAGTCTGATTTTTCAATTATTTTCGAAATTATGACTACCAGTACCTCAATTTGGTTTCATATCATCATTAATTAACTGACTAATTGGTTTGTGGGCAAGAATTTCATCCAATCTGTCAATTGTGGGTTCACAAATTTTCAAATCTGAAAATGGGACAGAGTTTTGAAAATACAACTTTTCGTTTTGTTAAGATTTCTGCTGTGAGCTTCCTCCGACCCAAATCAAAATTCCAGCACCCCATACGTGTCATTTGCTATCTATAGTTGACTGACTAATTAGTTGCAGGTCAGAAATTCGGTCAAAAATGTAAAATTTCGGCCCTGGAAATTTCAGCTTCAAAAACCGAAAATGGGACAGAGTATGGGACAGTATGATTTTTCAATTCTTTTCGAAATTATGACTACCAGTACCTCAATTTGGTTTCATATCATCATTAATTAACTGACTAATTGGTTTGTGGGCAAAAATTTCATCCAATCTGTCAATTGTGGGTTCACAAATTTTCAAATCTGAAAATGGGACAGAGTTTTGAAAATACAACTTTTCGTTTTGTTAAGATTTCTGCTGTGAGCTTCCTCCGACCCAAATCAAAATTCCAGCACCCCATATGTGTCATTTGCTATCTATAGTTGACTGACTAATTGGTTGCGGGTCAGAAATTCGGTCAAAACTGTAAAATTTCGGCCCTGGAAATTTCAGCTCCAAAAACCGAAAATGGGACAGAGTATGGGACAGTATGATTTTTCAATTCTTTTCGAAATTATGACTACCAGTACCTCAATTTGGTTTCATATCATCATTAATTAACTGACTAATTGGTTTGTGGGCAAAAATTTCATCCAATCTGTCAATTGTGGGTTCACAAATTTTCAAATCTGAAAATGGGACAGAGTTTTGAAAATACAACTTTTCGGCTTGTTAAGATTTCTGCTGTGAGCTTCCTCCGACCCAAATCAAAATTCCAGCACCCCATACGTGTCATTTGCTATCTATAGTTGACTGACTAATTGGTTGCGGGTCAGAATTTCGGTCAAAACTGTAAAATTTCGGCCCTGGAAATTTCAGCTTCAAAAACCGAAAATGGGACAGAGTATGGGACAGTCTGATTTTTCAATTCTTTTCGAAATTATGACTACTAGTACCTCAATTTGGTTTCATATCATCATTAATTAACTGACTAATTGGTTTGTGGGCAAAAATTTCATCCAATCTGTCAATTGTGGGTTCACAAATTTTCAAATCTGAAAATGGGACAGAGTTTTGAAAATACAACTTTTCGTTTTGTTAAGATTTCTGCTGTGAGCTTCCTCCGACCCAAATCAAAATTCCAGCACCCCATACGTGTCATTTGCTATCTATAGTTGACTGACTAATTGGTTGCGGGTCAGAATTTCGGTCAAAACTGTAAAATTTCGGCCCTGGAAATTTCAGCTTCAAAAACCGAAAATGGGACAGAGTATGGGACAGTCTGATTTTTCAATTCTTTTCGAAATTATGACTACTAGTACCTCAATTTGGTTTCATATCATCATTAATTAACTGACTAATTGGTTTGTGGGCAAAAATTTCATCCAATCTGTCAATTGTGGGTTCACAAATTTTCAAATCTGAAAATGGGACAGAGTTTTGAAAATACAACTTTTCGTTTTGTTAAGATTTCTGCTGTGAGCTTCCTCCGACCCAAATCAAAATTCCAGCACCCCATACGTGTCATTTGCTATCTATAGTTGACTGACTAATTGGTTGCGGGCAGTGGTGTAGGAATGATTTTCTTCATGGGGGGTGGCCAAATTCTAAATATTTTTGGCGCTTCGCGCCACACCCTAAATGTTTTGGCGCTTCGCGCCAAAGCCAGAATTTCGAGGGTAAGGACAAAAGGAAATTGCAGCATGTTGATGTGCAGTATCACGATTTTTCACGCTTGCCGCGACAAATCGCGATTTTTCAGATCCTGGCATCACGACAAATTTTACCTGGGGGCCTCGGCTATTATATTTATGTTTATAATCATATGAACATAAATCACCGAATAGAGATTCGATTTTGGTGGAATGACAGGCTGAGTGCGGCCCAGTGGCAGTTAGACAAATCGCGATTTTTTCAGTTCTCCACGTCAAATTGTGCATTTTCCTTTAAATCTGAGGACCAAATTTGCGTATTTTCCTTCAAATCTATGGGCCAAATATAACGTTTTTTATAATTAGTATATGAAACCAATCAGTATCACATCCACAACCTTCTGAATGTAGGTAAGGACTTCAAAAACAAAAAACCGAAAAATATATTTTTGGCTCATAATGATCAGGGTAGCAAACATGAACAAAAGTAGTTTCCAAGAAAACTTTGAAAATTTTTGACTTAGAAAATTTTCGGTCTGAGTCATTCTCGATACGTACTTCTGAAAGCAGAGCTCCTGCTTCCGAGCTCGTATTTCGAAGGCGATGCCTGCCTTCTGAGATCGCATTACAAAGGGTGACCCTCGAGTTCAAAATCTTATATCGAACTTCGAAAACCGAAAAAAATATTTTTGGCTCATAATGATCAGGGTAGCACGAAACATTTTGAACATTTAAAATATAATTTGAAACATTACAGTAACGTTATTCAAATCTCAAACAAAAACAGTATATTACAAAGTTTTGTGTTTTGATCATATGATCGTGGATGTATAGTGATTGATTGCATAATTTTGAATTTGATTGATGGTGATTGTGAGTGAGAAGATGTTTGGAGTGCCAGCCAGTAACTCTGTCAAATGAACAGCCCATTGAAGAGCGAATGAGCGCAAGCGCAGGAACAGCAGAGAGGGTGGCACAAAACGGCACACACGGAAAGGACGAAACAAAAAAGAAAAAACGCCGTGCGCGGTAAGCTTGCCTATGTCTGAGAGCTGGTGTTACCTGGCAAGAGGCCTCGAAGGAGGTGCCGTGGTGGAGTGTGAAGGGAAAGCACGGCAGCTCTAACTGATTATGATGAAACATGAACAAAATGATGAAACATGAACAAAAGTAGTTTACAAGAAAACTTGGAAAATTTTTGACTTAAAATTTTCGGGAAAAAATTGTTCCCAAAAATTTTTAGAAATCTAAATAAAAAAGTTGGCCCTTTTTGGCCCCTTGCCCAGATTTCATGGGCCCACATCCAGAAAGTTTCATATTTCCTCCCAGATGCGTTTTTTTCTAAATTCTGTGGCCCACTCGCTTCACTCGCAAGTTTGCCTTTTTTCTGTTGCCCGCTCATTTTGCTCGCAAATTTTTAACACTCGACCAATTCACGAGCAGGGACGTAGCCAGGATTTTTCTTTGGGGGGGTGTTTTCGGCGAGCGAAACGACGTGTCCAATTCAGCTGCGCAGCGAGCAAGCTGTGGCAGGGGTCTGGGGGCGCAGCCCCCGGAAAATGTTTGCGAAATAGGGTGTCTTAGACGACATTTGACATTAAAGAAATTTGTAGGACAGCAATAAACTGGGATTGTAAAGAATCAAGTACTCACATATATTTGGTAACTTCACAACAGCAATCTGCATTCTCCAATCAGAATATTTCACTGTGTTCCAAAACTAACAGGATGTTCCTCTTTGATTTTTAAACAATCGAAAAATTTTCTTCAAAAATTTCCTCAATTAATTTGTATTTATTTTAGGAGTAACTTCTCAAAAATTTCCTCTTTTTCCTCCCGTTTTTTCCTCCCAACAAAAAATTTCCTCCCAGGCTGCCTGTCAAGATGGCGTGTTTCTGGATGTGGATTCATGGGGGGGCTTCCTAC